TTCTGTTCTGACGGTGCTCGAGCTATGACAGGTAAACATGGAGGTGTTGCGACTAAAATAAAATTGGTTACAGAAAATTGTACTTTCATACATTGCAGCATCCACAGGGAAGCTTTAGTAGTAAAACGTATGCCAGAACCATTTAAACTAGTACTCCAGGAAGCCATAAAGGTAGTCAATTTTATTAAATCTCGGGCTCTACAGTCTCGTTTATTTACAAAACTGTGTTCCGAAATGGGAAGTGATCACATTCAATTGCTTTTACATACGGAAGTGAGATGGCTCTCTCGAGGAAGAATGCTTAGCAGGTTATTTGAACTACATTCTGAGGTTCAGTTATTCCTAGGAGAGACTAATTTTGAACTCAAAGATAAATTGACAGATAACCTGTGGATAACAACATTGGCATACTTATCAGACATTTTCAACCGTCTCAATGTATTAAATTTAAGTTTACAAGGTAAATCAATAAACAGATTTTCAATGAATGACAAAATTAAAGCATTTATTAAGATAATTGAAATGATAAGTAATAATGTTTCGAATGAAAACCTACAGTCTTTTCCTAATACTATAAAGAGTTTAGTTTTCAAATGTTTAATAAATTGTTTGCTAGTTTAGTATTGATTGGTCGGGAACTCTTGAACATCTCAATATACACCTATAACATAGTGATAAATATATGGTACAATATATTTCATGGCTCATGATAGTATCTTCTACTGTTCTACTATCTCTATTTTCTGTTGATTTGTAAATCATTTAAAACGTAGCTGTTAAAACGTAGCTGTTAGCAGCTTTTATTACACATATTATTACTAATTACTAATTTTTGTCTAATTTTATATGTAAAAAAAAAATTATTCATCAACAATAATAAGTTAAGATGACGGACGTCAGTAAAACTTTATTTAATAAAAAATGTAAAAAAAAATTTATCTCTAATATATATACAAAGTTTTTCCATATTGAATTAATTAATAAATTTACGGTTTAAATTAACAGCGATGTCGACTCACAATGTTGTCAGTTATAAATAAATACAATTCACTTAATCCGGTGTCCGTACCTAAATAATATTATTTTATAATTATTATTGTTATATACTGTACATTTGTAACTCCAAAAGTAAAAACTTAAAATACAGCTGGTACTCTGATGTTTAAATAATATTATAATTTATTGATGATAAATTATTATTATTTTCGTATAGTTACTGTAGAATACGCATAATTACTAATTAGTAAAACATAAACATTGCAATAATGGTTAAATACGCTGTAAAATTAAAATTATATGTTATTCTATCGTTTTACACAATTATATTAATACACGTATATCTAGTATATAGTATAATACACTGCGTCGAGGTGTATAAAACATAATATATCATGATATATAATAATACGCCTTACTTGTTCAAACCCCCGGACAACTTATCCATCAAAAGGAATACCAATCCTTCCCTGGATAACTATAGTAATATTGTAATAAGGTTCCCGCAACCGCGTTTTATGAGCTTTTTATTATTATGTGGCGTTGTAAGAGTAGCACATTACATTGAGAGTAGTGACTTACAAACACTGCTATAATATAAAATACACATCGATCGGTCAACATAATGCGACTACTGCTGCGAGATTCCAAAATTGAATTTCATAATATCATACAACGACAATAACGACTTAACGCTTATGTACTATATCGAACATAATCTGATTCGATTAGTTTAAAATACATTACCATATAAGTACATGCCTTAATCAGCTCGTTAGTTTTTTTTTTTATCTCCACTCATCGTCTATATATATATATTATATACATTGATTATAATACGCAAACTCGCTGCTGTATATATAGATTAAGATATTGTGGTTCCTCCGAAAATATCGGAAACCTTTTTAATCGATCGATCATCGTACAGAAATAAACCTACGAGACTGCAGCAGCGTGAGACATCTCAACTGTGTTCGTACATATATTTGCCATTAGGATAGGTATAATGCAATATCTATGTATCATATACAATATTAGGTATGTATATACGGCTGTAAAGTTTTTTTTTCATAATAATTATTTTAACGCGTGTCACTATGGCTATAATTATATGCTAAGATCGTGTTAGTAAACAAGCAAACGCGTAATTTAATGGACGATTCTAAAATTATATTTTACGTTTGACATAATATTCAGCCATAAGACTGTTGCGATATATCTGATAAATGTGGCCGTTTAGTGGTATCTGGTATAATGAGGACCCAGAACCCAACACGATAGTGCGCGTGCCGATATCAAAGGTTTTGGTGGACGTATACAAAAAGGAGCGAAAATATGTGTATTCGAACGATCGAGCGACAAACATACGCGAGAAAAAAAGTTGGTTTGAAAATTGCATGTCAAAACTTCGTCCCAGTACTCCGCCTGGGATGCACGTAGAAACGAAAAAACGGCTGATAAAAAAGTTGACGATCACAATCTACAAGAAAAAAAGGATCAATGTAAGTACCTATATTCGACACACCACATAATATATAAGTGGTCTAATTATAATACAATTATTTATTTCATATTTTCTCAAATCTCATCATGTGTTGACGATTATAATATCAAACTTAGGTGTACCTATTATAGTTGCTTATAGTTTCAACAAATTTTAATTTATCCATGTATTTTGATAACTCGTACATCTTAACGGATTCGACAATTTTGACGAAATATGCAAGAAAAATATAAAAAATAATCGACCGTCACCCCGCAACTATTGTAAAATCATAACACGAATTTAACTTTTATAATTATAAAATATGTACAATAAATAAACCAATAATAATATTCGCAACCATTAATACACTCACGCCCATACTGCTAATTACCTATATACGTTACACGTATTCGATATCGTTTAATATAATTTAATAGCTAGTAGCTACTAAGCATGGACAGTTAGATGACGAACCCAATTATTATTATTATTTTATGTTGTTGCATTGATTACCTTCAAAACACCGACTCCGTATTTAATTAACCGGATTAATCACACTTTCTATATTACCAGTCTGGAATCCGCAATAACAATATGCATATTATAATAAATTATTTTTAAATGCTCCCAGTTCTTCGTCTCTATAATATTAGCTTATCGTATAAATATATGTTGCAGAGATATGGACAATAATAAAGATAGGTGTTTGTAGAAAATCGATATGTATGTAAACCGATGATGTATTTTATAAAAAAAGGCTGTATTTAGGTATTTGGTGTTTATATTAGTTTGATCTAATACAATAATTATTCTATGCTTCATTATATATTGCGTATTTGAAACTCGTATAGTTATGTATATGGATACGAAGAAGGACAAATGGACGTAGCCGTTTGGGTGTGGGGACAATTGGACGTCAAAAAAATATAATCAAAATTTTAAATCAGTAAATAAAATTAATAAGTTATTTATATTTATTATACTATTTATGCGTCAAACAAAAACGAATATACAAATGATTCAGTATATAAAATATTAAAATTAAAAATGTATCCAAAACAATTTTTTATTACAATTATAGGTACACCAACAATTAAAATACGATATCAAAAAAAGTTATTTATAATAATTATCATAATACATCCAAAATATAATATTTAAAATACCTATCTAAGAAGTTTTTTTTTTATGTTAATGAATTAAATGACTAAAATTCAATAATAATATTGATAAGGTTCGATTTTATATGATACCATTAGTTTATATATTATGAACATATAATATAAATGGTTTTATAATTTATAAGCATAAACCAGAACAATTTATTTTCAATTTTTTTAAATATATTTTGAAGATGATCTATTATAATAATATTATATTTATTTAATTTATAATTTTTTTTTTTACGTCCAATTGTCCCCACATCCAAACGGCCACGTCCAAACGGCTACGTCTATTTGCCGTAGATCGATATGGATATACCTCAATTCCTCGATGTTCTGAATCTGAATGTGGACACAAATAATTTCAAAGTGTGTTAGCTAAAAAAAACAAATTTAAATTCAATGTAGTATATCTACGGTTATAAGTTTTCGAGTAATACAAAAAAAAATTGATTGAAAACATTTTTTTGTTTTTTCAAGTTGCATTTGAAAATTACTGAAAATGTATTATTTTAGATTCATTTTCATAGGTGATGACAAACAGGAAAAAAAACAAACATATTCTTCCCCACCTCCAAAGTCTAAAATATAACTTTTAGTATGCACACAACTCACCGTCTTTCGGACGTTGCCACATGCGGTGCATCCTATATTCACAAAAAAGTTTTTCAAACCTAATATTCGTAGAAAAATTATCTAGATAATACAATTGTACTAAATTTAATATATTATAGTATATATATTGAACTCAAATCTAAAAACTAAAATTGTCTAGTTACCTGCATGTATTAAAATTAATTTTGAGTATCTTTAAAATCGAGCATAAAGTATATATATATTCTATAGTGTATATTGAATCAAAAAATTATGAAAATCGTTATAAGACAATAAGATATTGTCTTTGTTTATGATAAATATTATACAACAATACAAACAATCAGTGACATTTTTAAATTTCTGCATAACAATAATAATTACTTTCTGAATAAATGTATTTCGTAAAAACAGGTGTGCCACGTAAATTTCACCATTTTACTTCACGGCTTTACGTGCTCTGCAATCACTTGCAACTTGCCAGTTGCCAATCACCCATTATGTACCCGGTGGTCCTAAATCATTCGAAATTTTTGCCCATTGATAATATTTATTAGGTATCCGAGTATAACTCATTTGCATAATTTTGGTCGCTGTTGGCGACCGTAGGGTCCACATAAACTATATTATAAACAAAATGCGGGGGGCCGGCCGATGCCACGCTCCGCTTTCTTCCCAGCTTTATTCGATAATATATATAGTTGCGCCGCTGTTAAATTTTCGGCTGTCCGTGCAGTGATCACATAATAATATTTAAGAATATTTTTTATGTTTCATATATTAATGGTTAACATTTTAAATTTGATTTAAAAACGTGCATTTAAAATTGGATTTTTAATAAAATTGCACTAGGTTGAATCAAATTTATTAATGTAATTATAAATTTCCTGAGAGAAATATATATAATATTATGTATAATATGCATCTAATAAATAATTTCGTGATAAAACTATAGCTATATATACCTATTTATAAATAAGTATAATAAGTTTATTTGAACATAATAATATAACGTAACGTTAATATTATATATTTGCATATAGATACGCTTCCACGAGCATAGCTGCTGTTTATAATACTCCTACGCGTATATCGTTGCATTTAAAACAAAATCGTTTAAATAATCATTCGAAAACTAGTAATTAGTTAAACTGTTTTAATATAATATTCGTTTTTGAAACACTCTTGTTATAGATCCCGGTTGAACTGAAAACGTAATCATCTGTCGAAAAATCGTTACGACTTCGGAACAAATTGCCGAGTGATAAGATATATTTCCGCAGGTTTTTGAAAAAAATTTAATATTGTGATTAAGTCAAATAACACGCGACGATTTATTCGAAAAAAAAAATTATTATAAATTATTTCTGTATTACTTTGACTATAAACATTTTAATGTTTTAAACAATTATTAGGTATGTATAGTGGTATTAATAAAATGTATAATATTATACCTACACGATGGTGATAAATAATAATTTATTATGATGATTCTTTTGATTTATAATTTCATGTCAAGCACCTATACAAAATCGCGAATAAATAAATAATAGTAGCCAGAGCACGTCGGCTGAAATATATATGAGTGTAGTATAATAAGCAGAACGCATTTAGTAAAAAAAAAATTAAGAAGCTCAAAACAGGAAAAGTACCTATATAAATTCAATTACAAATTTATGTGATATTATTACGTTTAGGTTTCTCTTGTTTATTTTAAGTATTATTGGCAAATTACCAATACCACTCGAGACAGGCATTTTTCGAATTTTGATGTATAGGTACGTGCAAATGTGCGATCGTTTAAATTGTATAATATGAAAAAAAATTCACATTGATCACATTCGTCGAATATTAGTAGGTTGAAGGTACACGACCTCGAGTCAATGACTATTTTATACAATCGGATGCAATTAATTGTCAGCACACATAGATATCGGAAATTCAGTCAAATCAATAATATACATAAAATATTATATTACAAAAAAATTTTGTCGATCGATAATATTCAAATTACACTGTCTTTTTTTTAAAAATTTTTTTCCCGATATTTGTTTCTTTCGTTTACATCCATTAGTTAAATGTTTTTTTTCACTGAAATACCAGTTTGCTACTTCATTATTTAGCTGTATAGGTATATGTATAATATATTATAATATATAATAATATATACAATCATTTTAAAGATATATCCTCTCTCTGTATACAAATCATGACAACTCTGTACAGAAACATAAATAAATTTAGGTAGATCCATAAAATCATATTGATTTAAGTTCGTGCTTATTAAAACTTACTAATCGTTATTATTTCGATCGTAAATTTTACTTTTACATAGTTTTACTACAATTTCCCACGGATAATGCTTACAACTTTTTTTTTTTAATTTAAGCTTAAGAATTTTATGTATATTAGGTATATCAATTATTATATAATATTTGATCGTTAAGTAGTAAAAAAAAATAAACGAGAAAATTAAATGAAATTTAAAATAATTATAAAATATATAAATTTAACTTAAAAATACGCAAATCAGAATATAGTCACTAAATGTCCGGCCTTCTTTAACCTTCTTTCCTTCCTTAACTGCGCTGTGTAACAGGTAGGTGCCTATTATGCAAGCCTATATAGTATTTAGGGAGTTATTCGCTTACAGTGAGATCCACTACAATGGTAATATACGAGTACAAATTTAGACTCTTTAGTACCCATCGTAGAATATGTTTAGTGGTCACCACATAAATAAAAAAATGTAAATACCAGATTATACCTATAGTTACGTTGAATGTAAAAGTAGATAATCTAATAAGAAGATAGTATAGCCGGTCAGACATATTTACTTACGCCAGTATACGATATCTATTAATTATTTATGCCAACGCATCAATAAGGGGTAAAAATATATCTACCTATATCGTAACACATCCTTATCTCTGGATAGTTGATTAAAATTATTATTTAAAGTATTTTTTTCTCCGGAAAGCGTGAATCTGTGTTGTACGCCTAGCTGCAGGTAATTCATATTAGTGTATAATATCCGATTTCTATCAAAAATTATTATTTTATTACATAATGTTTGGACAAGACGCTATCTTACAGCGATCTCGTCTGCCGAAGAACTCATCAGCGCGATTATATATTTTATACGCACATAACGCAAATATCAATTTCGTGAAATAGAAAAACTATTAAATTCAGTAAATTCGATATGCGAAGAAGTGTCACAGTCATGTTCTGTAAAATTACAGTCAGACAATCTAGTCGTGATTATAATCCTCTCGGTTTCTATATCTCTGTGGAATAGTCGAATTCATCACGTATTCAAAAACACGTCTATATAGTATTACAATATACATATTATTACACGAAAAACAACTTACGAATTGTCAATTATACCGCAACGGAATATTTTATTTTCACTTATTTTCACTCAACTGTTGCTGTAGCTGTTGGGTCTACATTTACACGCTTCTGCGATTCTCGTATGTTATATAAATGTATACCTACCGATGCTGCGTTCCTATATAGATTACATATTAGTATTTAGAATACACTTAATTATATGTATACCAATTAAAAAAAGAAAAGAAAAAAATAGGCTAAATAGTTGATTTTTACCTATCCACACCAGCAGTAAACCAGTTCAGTATTCCATGAATAACTATATTATATTTAAATCATATTATATACAGTCATTATAACCACGTCGTATAACTAGTTTTTAACTACGGTCGAATGTTTCAAACATTCTTACCCAATTCACTTGGGAGGTGAGGTTTATGATGGCATATTCATTTTTAAATCCCTTTCGTCACAATTCTTCATACACTTCACACATTGATTAGGTATATTATAGTGACGAGATAAGAAGCTTAAAAACCATGAAATATAAAGCTATTATGTATATTTTATTTTTAATTGTGTTCTACCAAAAGACTATACTTAGTGCTAATATGATACTTGGATTAAATTGAAAATTTTTTCAAAAATCTCAATCTCCTCTCCTGTATTTGTTCGATTAACATAGGAATGCAAATACTTAAATTATTAAATTGTTGTAATATCAATACAGTATATAATACGATGATTTTCCATGTATTACATTTTTAATAACCGTTTTGCGAGTCATTAATTTATAACAGGTCATAATATATGTGACATAACATGCAGTCATAATGAAGAGACCCGTCACTTTCAAAGTCCGGGTGTTTCTGTAAAATATACAGCAGTGAAAACCGACGAGGCGAAATAATAATTACGTGGTGGGCGTTAAAATAATTTGTTAAAACGTCTCCTCACACTACCTATAAGAGTATGTGATATATAATGTACGGTTACGCGTTATATATATAAAACCTACTAGATCTACACGACCGTATACCTGGTACCAAATGACATATTATAATATTACAGCCTTTGTCGAGTTTTTTACACTGAATTTATGGTTCGGGGCGATAATAACACTGTAGCAGAGGTGACAAAACTATGGCGGGTGTGCCAGTCAATGGTGTACCCGTACCTATATAATATAATATTATAATATCTCATAAAATACACACATACGCACACACACACACACACACACACACACACACCTACCTCATATCTCATAAACGCGTATACGATATTGTTACTATATACACACGAATGCAACTAAATTATACTGCAGGTGAACTTTATATGGCTGCAGTTCTGGCGGTCGTCCCAAAAATCAAAATTGCGAAGCGAATTATAATTGGGCGCGCACCGCAAATATAATTTATATAATTTATACGTACCACACACATATATACATATGTATCGTTGTGTACGGATGCGGTGCACGGCATTTATTACGATGCAGTTTGCGCGACGACCGTCACGGTTTACCCACATTAAAAAATTACAATAATATAATAGTGATCTGCATCAGATGCAGTGCTAGACGAGCGAGTTGTGCATTAAACTTACTATAGCACATATCAAATCATTATACTTACAAATTATATAAGCCACGCGCACCAAAGTCCACAATGATATGGGTGCGAAAATCGGTCGCCACGGTAATCGATCAAGGCGCTCGCGTTTATTATATCTTAAGCGTGCATTTGGGTTTGTAAATACGTAGTGAGTACACCTCGCCGACTGCTGGGAAATGACGGCGGCAGCTAGGTGCTGTAATTGGATTAAGTGACTATAATATTATAATGTGTGTGTGTGTGTGTGTGTGTATGTGTGTGTGTAATGTGTGTATATATATATATAATATATAATATGAGATATTGAAATACGAGTGCGTTTTAATGTATTTGGGTAGAAGTACTTCCTGCCTCCAAGATCACTGCACTCCGGGTCATCGTCGCATCGAAACGATTATAATGATATGGGAGGCCGATCCTATTTAGAAAACCGTGTATATATGTACATAATAAATATACATACATAAGTACACTATACGCATATAGGTGGTACTGCTACAGCACCGTCGTATATCCTCGCCCCTATCATATGTGTTGGATACACATAATATTATTATTATAGGTATACGTAAATCGACGGCGGCGGCGGTCGGTCGTGCGAAATAAAAACAAATTTCAAGTGATGTCGGCGAAGGTATACATAATACAATATTATATATTATTATATTATGTGAGTAGTGCCCGTAACCAGTCGGTCTGGTCCGACCAGTCGTCACAACTCATCGGCCAAAAAAATATACGGCGGCGACATCACCGGCGGTGGTAGATATAGGTAGGTAGGTATAGGTAAAGGTACCTCATAATATTTATATATACAAACATAATTACTATACTTACCCATATATAGCCGAAACTCATAGATCCGACGAGAACGCATTATCCGTTTATAATACGATGACAAATTTCTAGTGTGACGGCGACGAAATGTTTCACGACACTATCGAAATAATTATATCAATATTATACCGGCGGTGGCCGAACCGTGGTTAGTGTCTTAACACGAGACACAAACTGCAATAATTACCAATGCAACAACATGTATCATATTATAGAGACTATCCCATATACCATAATTGTACATTATTACTATATATTGTTTCGGTTTTCCACAATTTTATTAAATATTTTGTTACATAATATGCATAATTATTTCGTTTACGATATAAATTATCGACGACCAACCTATATTTTCCTCGGCTCTTGCATGTTTTTCATTACATTTCGAGACTCACAACTACAAATACTATCGTATCGCTGGTTACC